CCGAATCCGCATCAGGACTTCGAAAACGTTTTCCTGATGCTCGTCAAAGCGCCGCGAACAGAACGAAGCTTATTGACAAGTAACAAAGTAACAAGTAACCCTTTCCTCATTCCCCTATTCTCTTGGTAACACGCCTGTTAGCGTTGCTTCTTCTTACAAATATCTGGGAGTTCACCTGACTTCTAACCTCTCATGGATCACCCACGTTAACAACGTAATTGCTAATGCTTCTCGAACCCTCGGATACATTAAGCGTAACCTCAAGGCAGCACATCCTCAACTCCGTAAACTAGCCTACGAAACTTACGTTCGCCCAAAACTTGATTATGCTTCACCAATCTGGAACCCCCATCAAGTCTACTTAACCAAACGTATTGAAGCCGTCCAAAATCGAGCGGCACGTTTTATAACATCGAGTTATTCGTATAACATAAGTGTTTCTACTCTAAAAGATCAGTGTTCTCTCCCTCTACTCGAAAACCGCCGAAAAATTGCTCTTCTGTGCCTCATCCATAAGCTCTACTATCACGATAATAATATACCTTTTCGTGAGCCTCCTAACAGATCTTCCCATCGAACCACTAATAGCAGAAGTTTCAAGCACCTAACCAGTAAAACTAATGCGTTTATTAACTCCGCTGTCCCGCGAGGCATCCGCGATTGGAACGACCTTCCCAACACCATAGTCGACATCAGTGACACCGGCCTGTTCTGTGAGGCGATTTCTACATTGTTTTCATAGTTGGCTACCATATTTTTATATTTTATTATATATTTCTTATTTTGTTTATTCTTTTAATATTTTTTTTTTTTTTGTTTGTCGAGTGCGTACATAGACGATATGTTGGTGATTTTGACCTCATTTGTTTCTGTGTGGATTTTCCCTGCTATTTTTATAGCGTGTACAAATGTATAATTGATGTGTTTTTGTTTTTTTTTCGCTTCGTGCGGTGTTCTGTATTTTTGATTTTATATTCCTTGCCCCCCCTTATGTAATGCCCATTGGGCCTTTAAGGGTTGAATAAATGAAATGAAATGAAATGAAAAGGGTGTCACCTGAATGGTCGTCAGAGGAACTTCCAGCTCCCGCAGCCTCTGCGCGACGAGGCATGAACTTGAACGCTGTTGTCGCAAGCCTGTTGCAGTGGCATGACAAACACATCAGGAGCGGCTTGCTGTCGTTTCTACGACATTTAAACGGCACACATTACTCTTCTAAAACTAAAACTCGGGGAAAGTGTCAACCTGTTGAAACGGAGGCTCGGGCGAATTGGTTGTTCATGACTGACAAGAAAACATCGCACCCTCAAAACAAGCACTCTAATGATTTCATGCACACAAAAGAAAGAGCCACTTACACAGCGCTGTGTAAGTGGCTCTTTCTTTTGTGTGCATGAAATCTTTAGAGTGCTTGTTTTGAGGGTGCGATGTTTTCTTGTCAGTAAAGTGCCAACCACTGTGGCGAAAACGTGCTTCGAACTTGCACAAAGGCGCCAATGTCACGTTGGTCACGTGACCATAGCGAGTGACTGAATGGATGTAGTTGCTGACGTCTGTACTATTTGTAACGGGCGGTAGCTACCGCTACCCATGGCAACGTCTCTAATAACGGTCAAATCAGCAGAAACCAGTCACTGAAAATACGTTTCCAATTTTCATTTATTTTAAAAAAATATCGAAAGCTCGACACGTTTCACCCTAAATGACTGTGCCCCACATGCAGTCTTTTTTTTTTTGAGCAGCTGACGCACGCACCGATCAGTGCTGACGACCTGACGTGAGCCGTAATCCAAGCCAACCCAAACAAACGTTTTGGATACAATAGTAAGGGTGCAGGCGAGCTGGTGGATGTTAACCATGTTGAATATACCTGAGACTGGGGTAGAAAAACATAAAAGTCGAAGAAACAGAACGGGACAGGACGACGTCTCAAAAGTCGTCCTGTCCCGTTCTGTCGTCCTGTCCCGTTCTGTTTCTTCGACTTTTATGTTTTTCTACCCCAGTCTCAGGTATATTCAACATGGTAAACGTTTTGGCGTTATTCAGCCACGTTGTGATCTGTGCGTCGTAGGTTTTCTGTTTACAATTTCGTGACGGTGGAAAAATAAAAAGAAGAAGAAAAGTGGGCAAATACCGGAAATGCAGCTGAGCGCGGGAGAGCTGAGGATCACAACTTTATCAGGTAAGAAGATTCTAGGCGCGTTCACACTGGCGACTAGCGAACACTGACGTTCACTTCACACTGCCGATGATCGGCGAGTCGCTATCGGCGAGTCGCCGGTCGTCCGTAGACGATCGGCTACTCTGAGGGCGCGTTCACACCGGTGTTCACACTGCGGAAGATCGGAAGCTCGGGCGCCGCCGTCGATTCAGTGCACCCCGCCACAGCTCGGGTTCGTGTTTCGCTGCTTTTCAATTTGCGCGACTCCAGCAAAACGGACGCCGCCAAGCGGGAAAACCGAGAACCAGCCGGTCCAGGTCGCTCCGCGCCCCGCCGCATCTCTGATGGCTTTCGCGGACGCGTGCTGTCGGCGCGGCGGCGAGCAATGTAATTTGACGAAGGTCCGAAAATTTCTTAAGTTTGCCTGAGTGTTCATTAGTGTGATGAAGCCTCAGTAGATTGTTTCTTTCCATCACGTGTTTGAAAGCCCGTTTATTCCACAACACACGATCGCGTGCTTTCAATTTTTTGGATGGGGAGGAATCACGGAAAAACGTTTTGATTTCTCGTCTGTCCCTAATCACAATCAAAGTGACGACTGCTTGGTAACTGATAAGCGGTTTCTTTATAAGGATGTAGAACAGTAGACTGAGGTCGACAGACGAAGTGTTTTATTGGAGGGGACACCAATGTTGCAGTCAAGTGAACGGGAAGGTTCGATAGCTGCTTTCCTTGAGTTTGGTTGTGCTGGATTAGCTTCAGGTTAATTTGAGCCACTAACGCCGGCCGGTGCGTTGGCTATTCATCTTGGCGGCTTTTCGCAGAAAAAGACCACATTGAAGGAGTTGGGCTAATTTCGCAATTACTTGATTCAGAAAACCTGCTCGCTGCATATAATTAATGAGGGAAATTATCTGCTTTCAGAAGGTGGGGGACGCGTCTCGCAAAGATAGAAGCTGTCACGTCATTAGGATCTATCGCGCCTCCAATACTTATAACCCCTGTCGAATCCAGCAGCAATATACGTCTACATTGCTCAGATTAAACGGCCACAAAAAAAAAAAAATACTAATTTTATTTGTTCAGGATTCGAAGTCAAGTTCAATGCAGAAAGGTCTGAGTGAATCTCCGATGAAGACTGTCCTCAGCTTGTCCACATTCGTCCCGTTCTACCGGCTAGAACCATTTGGCTAAGTTTAAGTAGTATCTCTCTGTCTGTCAACTATACTTTTATTCAGCAGTTCACCCTAATAGTTAGTCAACTAAGTTCATATTTCAACCCGAAGAACATACTAATATCGCTTTAGTGGGACCATAGTACGTAATATAATACATAACCGCATATTCATCAAAATGACTTCTCGATTGTCACTAAAACCTGAATTGAAATACGAGTATCAGCTGCTTAGTGAAGTGCCAGCGAGTTGACATGCTCATTGGCTCAAGAAGCGCTTGCTTAATTTTCGTAATTTTCCTGCACCCTGTGTTTTTGACCGAGCACACGACTGCAGCTGTTTCTTGAAACGCGAACAGGCACAAAAGCTCAATTTCGCGGACCGGTAAGTCGCATGATCGAGGCATGCGAGTTAGCTAAACATTACTCTTGGTGGAACAATTTTGTAGCCCTCGCCGCTTTCCTTAGATGATCAAAACTAATTAGAGTCTATTACCGTTTTTCCGGAGCCCATAGTTTCGGTTTTGATCGAAGTCTCCGCAGCGAAAGTTTGACATGAAAAGAACAAAAAACACCGGCAAAACAAAACTATGCTCGGCAAGTTTATGCGCACCGGCTAAACTTAACTGTCTCAAATCAAATACCCATAAAATTGGGCATTCAACAAAAGAATAATCGTTAAATTGAATGCGCCACCCATTCAGGCGGCCCAGCCGATCTGACGCGACCTGGACTCAGCCGCCATGTTTGTTTGGTGGTGGCGCCCCCTATAGGTCGCTGGAGTCGCGAATACGCACTACGTAGTGCACTTCGGTTCCCACTTCGTACCTGTCAAGGTGTGGTACGGATTTGCTGCCATTCCCCACTCACAAGAGCCGCCGCAGAGACCTCCTTGATTCTGTATCGACGGCCGCTACCGCGAACCGAGGTGTTCAACGGACACGGTTGCATCTCCCACACAAGTCCGGCGTGCCGGATGTAAACAAACGCGAGGCGCACTTACGTCACTTCCGAGGCGCCGCTGATTGGTTCAGCCGCCGGGCGACTCGGCGACAAGTCGCAAAATTCGGTCTGGAAGCGACTGCTCCAAACCTGTCGCTCTTGTGACTTGCGACCAAAGTTCCGCGCGACAGCTGCAACTTGCCCGTGTGAACGCGCCTTGAAGCTCCTAGGAGCCGCCACGGCCGCCATCGATTTCGTCCTTACTGCAACGGCTCGGGTTCGCGTTTCGCTGCATTTCCCAATATTGTTTTCATGTCTGCCGTTCTCGCCACAAAAGAAATACTTCTGGCATTAGCCTGGCACCTTCGGAACCGTACAATTAAAGCAATTAAAGAATAATTAAAGCACGATTGCTACACTAACGCGCACTCGCTCGAGCTTCCGCGGGCCTGTGGGGCAAAAAGCCACAGATTTTCTGCCAGGCCGAGTTCTTTTTTTGGGCACTCATTCGAATAGGGGTGCTGCTTGTTATAAAAATATGGGTGCTCTGATCAGAGCAGATCAGAGCCGCTGCAGAAACCTCCATGACCAGTATTGTCTAGTCGCCTCTCGGAAGCTACCGGGAACCACCGTCGATTTCGTCTTCCCCGCCAGAGGTCGGGTTCGCGTTTCGCCGCTTTCCCATTTTCGTTGTCTCACAGCTATACACGTGTCGTCGTTCCCATGTGAAAACGACTCATTATGTTAGCCTGGGTACTACTAAACCGTACAAAGAAGCACAATCGCTACGTGTCTGCATCCACTTTCTCGAGCTACCTCGTTGCAGTACACACCTGCGAAGACAAAAGTGGCAAAGATCTCTTGCCAGGCCGCATTCTCTTTCGGGTGCTTGTTCAAATCTGGATGCTGCTTTTATAAATAAATTGGTACTCTTTAATAGTGTTGACCAGAGCCGCCGCAGGGACCTCCATGGCTCCATATCCACGGCCGCTACTGTTAACCGAGGCGTTGGACAGGTATGCTGGTTGCTTCTCCCACAGAAGCTTGGCGTGCCGGATATAAATGAACGCAAGACCTACCTCACGTCACTTTCGAGGCACCACTAATTTGTTCAACTGCCATGCGACTCGCCGACCGGTCGCTAAAATCTTTCTGGAAGCAACTTCTCCCAACCAGTCACTTTTGCAAGAAAAGTTGTCACACGACAGCTGCGACTTGCCATTGTGAACGCGCCTCTAGTTCCTTGTGGTGGTGGTCTGTGTGCGGGATATGGACAGTGAGCTAATCAGTCGCATGATCGCAGCATTGCTGTGTCTGTTCATGTCACCCGGGCAAGCAAATTGACAAGTGATGTGGACCCTAGCATAGCCTCCTGTATGCCTGTCAAGTGGTGTTCAAGCAGGATACTTTAGAAAGTGCGAGACAGCGCAACTCTGTCATATGTCGTGCAAGAACCGCATCCATCCGTTTTTGTTGTTTTTTTTGTTTTGTTTTTTTTTGCCAGTGGGAATGGTTCTTTCTGTCAAGGCACATTCACACTGAGAGAAAATGCATGTTAAGTGGCAAGTTTTTATTTATCTTTTTTTTTTTTGCTTTTTGTATTGAAAAGATACGCTTGGTTTCCGGACGAAAATGACGAGGAAATACTCGCAGGCAACTCCCGTTTTTCCCGCACAAAGCAGACGAAACAGAGAGCAGGCGCCAAAAATGTTGTGCAAACCAAAACCCGGTCCCTCTTTTAGTTTGAAAATTTTTCTTGGTCTGGGGGAAGGCTCTATTATAAGATAAGTGGCATCCGGAGTACAAGAAGAAAACACTAAAATCAAACACCTGGAAAATAATTGGATTGGAATTCGGCATGAAAGTTAAGTTGAAACGTTTTCGCATTGACTGAAGATTACAGAAGCTGCTAAAGAGAAAGCATGGCAGGAGATCGCATCCGTGCTGAACTCGCGGCATCCATCGACGCTACGCACTGTGTCGCAGATAAAAAAACAGGGGCAGAACCTAAAACCTCGTAGCCGCGCAGAATTGACGCTGTCCAAGAAGGCAATCTCCACGACCGGTGAGTTTACTATACATATGTTTTTACTGCTCATAAAAGTGAACCACACATTCTGTGTGCTAAAGGAATTTTTTTTTTTTCTCATTTTCTTGGCTAAATTATAGAAGTAATCATGATTTCAACCTATTAATACAACCAAATCAAAACAATGAGTGCACTTGCTGCAATCAGAAAAAATTCAATGCCTAAACAAAATATAAAAAGAACCTTATCTTCCACAGACGCAGGGTGTAACAACCACCAACTCGCACCGCTGGCTGAAGCTGTGCTGGCGGTCGTCGGTACCACGAGCCCCAATCCTCTGGACATAGAAGGGGGCATCGACACCCACCAGTGAGCTGTCATGTTACTGCTGTTTCTATGAACGTACTGGAATGCACGATGTGTCATTTGATGCGGACAAGTCTAGCCTTTTTTGTTTACACAATTGGGGGTTCTACTAGCAAAGCTAACATTGTATTTGTAATCATATCTAGGGTTCGCAAGTACAAAATACCGGGCCAGTCAAAGAAACTTTCTGGTGTGTTCTCCAGAGCAGGAAGGAACCGTGCACATCCAAGAACTCTAAAACTTTGAGCCTTGTTACTTTAGGTTAAAGTCAAGGTAGGCATTTCAATGAAAGGCCACTGCACTTATAGATGATGATAATAATAATGATATAAATAATAGTAATAATAGTAATTATTGGATCAGGAGAGCCATGGCACTGCAGAAAGGCAAGAGCCCGTACAAGGTATGCCTGCGACGTCACATCTAGTGATGGTGATTATGTGATGATATAAGATCACAATCTACTCTTGTGAGCTGCAAGATTAAAATGATGGCGCTTATGAGCTGACATGTACAAGGGAAGGGCGACGCAGACTTCTGTACATCGCAAAGCAATGTTGACCGAGTCTCAAAGGTTCGGGAAAGGGAAATAATGGCAGTCTTAGGCTGGTACACTGCTGAAATGCTAGAAGGTATACCTTAAAAAGGTGTCGTGCAATGCAAACAAGACAAAGGTTATTGTGTTTCTACTACACCACTATTACTAAATACATTAGACTCATTAATTCAAGCTTTAGGAAGCTATGAATTTTGTTTCAATTATCAGAAATTTATCTAAATATGATGCAAGATAAAATTATGATTTGCCATAGGAATGGCTACACACACACATAAGATATTTGATGCTTTCCTTTACATAGGCCTACTGATCATAACCAGGTAAGCTACACATGAAACGTTTGTGAAACGTATGACACGTTTGTTTACCCCTCAAAAATGTTCTGTTGTGGGCTGTTTAAGCACATGACAACGCAAAACAAAATTCAGTTTCTTCATCAGGTCAAGAAGTTGTCTAGTGTGAACTACAGTAGACTCCTTTTTGGACGAACACGAAGGGACCCTGAAAATTTGTTCAACTTATCAGATGTTTCTCTTAACAGAAGTGCCCTAATTATCATGCTGGGCATGTCTAAATTGCTGTTGACCAATAAACACAAAATAAATAGGTGCAAAATCTTTAAAAAGAGACATTTATTTGGCTTACCATGCCAAAAGAAGAGGGATTCGATTCATTCAGTAATTTTTGACTGCCTTCTCCTTTGTGCGAATCGGTGTCGTGCAGTGAAAGACGACATGTGGCCAATCTTCTTGAGAAAACCTTCAGAACCTTTCTGTTCCAGGAAAAACTGCAGTAGCACAGTGTAACTGCTGGTGCTTCCGGGGCAACATCTTCACTATCGTCTTTGTCATCATCGGCGTTTGCTGGCGGCTCAAGCAGTTCCTCAATCAAAGTTCTGATGCTGCCTGCTCTGCAAGTAGCCACAGAGCCATCAACAACAATGTATGCCGCTATGTCCAGCGAAACACCGTTACAGTTCAATGAGGAAGCTAAGCTGGCGTCCTCTGGGTCAATGTCCTCCGACAAGTCCTCACCTTCACATGGGGCTTTTAGTGAGCAGCTCTGCTTTATAAAAATTCAGCATGGCGGAAGCAGTTTGCAATTGTAGCTTCGGTGACCTGATCCCAGGTGTGAGACAGCAGATGGAGGGCAGTCAAGAGATTCACTGAGTACTTTTTGCCATTTTCCATGCACAAAAAAAAAGCATTTGTTGAAGCAGCGATCATCAATAGTGCCTCTTCAGGGAACTGATTACCCCTTGGTCCATGGGCTGGAGTTTTGCAGTTGTGTTTGGGGGCAAGAACTGGAGCCGGACAGCCGAAAGTCCGCTGACCTTCCCGTGCCCGGGACAGTTATCAACAAGGAAGAGGACCTTTATCTTTTCTTTTACAAAGTGGCGATCCTCCTCGCGCAGCCACTGCTCAAACAGTGTTTGGGTCATCCACGACTTGAGTTGGCTGTATAGGTCACTGGCAAAGTTTTCACATTTTTGAAGCAGCGTGGAGACTTGGCCTTGCCAATTACTAGAAGTTGGAGCTTGCCATTCCTGCTTGGTTGGCACCAACAAGCACGGTAATTCGCAGCTTGCTGTGCTTGCCTCCGGTGCTCACGTCGCCAGCAAACGACAGCATTTTTTCTGGAAGAAGCTGGTAGTTAGTACAGTGCAGTTTCGTCAACATTGTAGATATTACCTGGCTCATACCCTTCGAGCAAGTGCGTCATCTTCGTTAGGCTCCAGTCATCACAAGCCATTCTGTCAACGGCCACGGCCTCCTTACAATAGAGCGAAACACCAGTCCGTGTCGCTTTCGAAAGCGATCAAGCCAGCCGTCGCTACGTAAAAAATTTATGAAATTTCCTCTGCCTCGGTGCGCAAGACAGTTCCGTTCACAGGCAAGTTGTCACTCCCTGCTCGCCGAATCACGCGATGAGAACTGCTTCCAGGTTTCCATGTGCGGCTGTGCGTATTCTCTTTCGTTTTGGTGCAAAGTCAGCATCGTTGTAGGCATCTACTATCTTCTTTCTATCTTTCACTATGCCTGATAAAGTACTTTTGGTGATGCCAAACTTCCGTGCAATTGCCGTCTTTGACAGTTTTGCGGCTTTCACCTTTTCGAGTGTTTCCGCCTTCCTTGCCAGGGGAGATACTTCCACATCTGTTTTTCCATTTTGGTTCAGTCCAGCTCCAATGGCCGAGTGTAGAGCTGATGTCAATGAAGAACAGACCAGTGGAACAGACAAACTGCCGAGCCAGCGGGCGAGCCTTCATTGCCGTTGCGTACATACATTCGTCAACCGAAATGGACCGAGGAGTTTAGTTTACGTTGTGGTTTGTGTTCAAGTACGCTCGCTCGTGCGCGGTGCGTGCATGTTTGTGCCTGCTGCTCCTGCGCGGCCCGACCACCTGTATCCCTCGCCACTCCGGTGCCCTCCCCCCTTCCCAAACACCGCCACGGCGCCGCCGTCGGTGCAGTGCCATCGTGAAAGGGAGCTATGGAAATTTGAGTTAACGAAAATGTGCACCAAAAACGGTTTGTGTTAAGCAATTTTATTTTTGCATTGCGTCTATGGGAAACCAATTGAATGTTTTTACTTAGTTCGGCATATCCGAGAATTCGGCTTAAGTGAGTTCGCCTTAACGGGAGTGAGTCTACTGTATTAAACAAGGGGCACATGAGCAATGAAAACGGGCACTGTGCCAGTTTTCATAGCAACTTGTGTGGACGTTGTGACGTGGGCCTATGCTATGCTATGCATGCATCTGTGCAGGTTGCTATGGGAATTTTCGTATGAGCCCCGTTGAGTGCGCTTATCGCCAAGCACCGGTGCATTACGGAGAAGCAACAGCTCCATGGGCGTTGCCTCTCCAGTGCACCGGTGCTCAGGAAGAAGTGCACTCAACAGCAGGGCTGCAAGAACAAAAAGTATGAAGTACGGGAAATCGTTTGGTTTAAGTGGACCAAACTTGCAAAATTTGTTTGAATTAACCAGAAGTATAATATCCGAGTTTTCATTATCACAGGACTATTGTATACAGGCTAGACTTTTATGAAGTCAAGCCGAACTATGACAAGCAGCAAAACAAATATATTGTTTTATGTTGAAAACTCTACAGCTACGTAGACCCAAAGGTCACGAACACAACTCATGGACCACATTTGCTTCAGGTCAGTAGTATTGAGATGGAAGTCAGTTGAATGAAGGCACAGAGCTGAGACAGTCTGTTACATAAATATATTTGTGCGAGATTAGTGCTCTCAAATCTCACTCATTCTATAGGTAGTATTCACTGTCACAGCTGAACTCGCTGCTGCTCAGCACATGCTGACGGCAAGCCTCCGCATCACTTCCAAAATGCACATTGCCCATCATGAGAAATGTATTTTCTGGAATAAAACTACCCTGAAAGGGTGAACAGCATCGATAAATAAAAGAAATAAGAAGTCATCCTGAGCAGTCAGTCAAATATGATGTCGTGAGTATGATTTATTAAGCACCGACCAGTAGAGACTTCCACTAAATTTGGAATCACCCTAAGCACATTTGCTACTCAACATGGTAGTCTTTTGGAAATTGAAAAGAATTATAGGGACAAGCAACCAGAAATATGTGGCTGGCATCAACACTCCACACTGGATCTGCATTAAGCCAGCTGCTTTCACAACTAATAGCTGCAACAGCCAAGATCGGGCTTGACCTGCACACTGTAGACTAGCTCTACTAAAGCGAGCTACTTTCACAACTAATAGCACCAATGGCCGAGAACTGAGGAGTCAAGCTTGATCCACATGCACGCAAAAAGCATGAATGAAATACAGATAAGAGTGTTCTCAAATTATGTGCAAGGGTGACAAGGCAGACATTCTTGTGTATTTTCCTTAGGGCCAGCGCAGCACCAGTCAGCCTGCAGTCAGCCACCAACGAGGTGGTAGGAGAGGATCGAGTCCTCAGCTATAAGATTGACGTGGACCCCGGGGTCACCTTCCTCGAGGTGTCTGACGAAACCCAGGACTACGAGCCTCCGGACTGGCCGCTGGACAAGGATGAGGTCCCCTTGGAGCCTGGTGCAGCACCTGCTCTGCTACGTTGGGAGGGGCCTCCTCCAGTGGCAGGGGGACCGCCTGAGGCAGCAGCTGCTGTTGAAGGGCTACCGGCCCCACTGGACCGGCGCCGGCGGGGACCACCTCGTCCACGATCAGTCTGGAGGCCCAGCACACCGCCCGCAGGCTTGGCAACCAGCACTCAAGCTGCGGACAAGCAATTCTGCAAGGACATCCTGGCGCAGCAACAGGAGAATGTAAATCTAGAACGGCAATGCCTTCTTTCCAAACTAAAGGCGTCGGAAGAGGAGGCGAGGGAGGCAAGGGCAACCTGTGAGGCTGCCGAAAAAGTTTTTATTTTAGAAAGCAGAACAAAAAAATGTTCGCCTTACTTGGGCAGCCTGATCCACAACAAGCCCCTAAAGGTGGGGGGGGTCCTTCAGTTTGGCAAGGAAACTTTGCCATTACAGCTTTACGTTGTATATACAATAAACATTTTTTTCTGGTTAGTTCTCTTCGCTATCTTTTTGGTTCCAAGTATGCAAAAAATTTACACTGCATTATGCGTTTCGTTTAGCAGCATGCAAAACTAAAGAAATGATGGCTTTATAAAGAAAATGCAATGACTTTTACACACTCAGCCTAGTAAAAGCAAGAGTCATAATTGTATAAACACAGGTAAGGACCGCATCCCCAAAACAAATGTTTGCCTTGCGCACCATTGCATTTGTACAAGCTAGTGTGATGCAACCGCTGACATGGCATGCATTCAGCATCAAAGCTTTTTTTCTCTTTGCAAGCCTTACAATCATCTCCCTTCTTGCTGCCTTTTGTCGAAGTTGCTTAAGGCACATTCAACCAAAACACCTACTTATTTGTCTCCTTTTTTGCGTTTGAACAGCCTTCATCTATGATTTGCTGATGTTGATGCCGTGTCGCAATGAGAACGAAAGAATGTACAAAATGCAGGTGCAAAATGGCAGTGCAGTGGCATAAAGGACCACACACAGTTCTGTTTCAGTGCATTTAACTGTTTTGCATCAGGAAATAGCCACGAGTTGCCAGGTTGCCCGTGGTTTATATAAAACGCAACCAATTTGCTTATCACGATGCACACTAACGGAGGCCCTGCACCATGCTGGTGGCTGACTTCCCACCACGCAGATGCGCTTTTTAAGGCATAAGATGCCACAAATTGCCCGGACATGTGCTGATACGCACCATATTTTCTACTAGTCTACCAGGGTGCATCTAAACTTGCAAAACTGTGCCAAACTTAAAATGACGATGTTCATCCAGCACGTACAGAATATTTCATCGTCGGGAAAATTGTACTACGAGCAGAAAGTTTAGATTTGCTGCCGACAAAGTTTTGATGCAAAAGGCTATTGTGTCGGCAAAACAAATTTCATTTTGTGGATCAAGGCATAACTGGAATCTCACAATTATTTGACCTGCGGCTGTGGGAGCCACTAGAGATGTAAAATTTCGTGAAATATCGGATGGCCCAAAAAACAGGAAAATTGGAAAAATTGAGATTGCTGCGTGGATGCATTTATTACATCAACACAATATGAAAGGCAGGACCATTTGGGAAGTTTCAATATCTGAAATACTTCAAATTGAGGTGTACGTAATGTCAACAGCTTACCAAGCAGAAATACAATATTTTGGTAAGGCTAAACAGCGTTGCATATGTCCCCGAGCACTTGTTATTCCGAGTCGGAATCGCTGGATAGGGGAACACTCGCGTTCACGTCGGTTGAACATTTTTTCAGGTTCAGGCTGAGTGCGCATACACAAGTTTTTTCACACGTTCACCTGCAAGCCGGTTGCACAGTTCTTTGTGTGCATTCCCAAGCTGATACCAGTTTCGTTCGCATGTTGCAGACGATGGGGGAATCTGCAAAAGCCGACATGCCAGGGGTGTCAATGGCTAGTTAGTGCAGAGTCCTTGCCATCAGGTGGATGGTTCCACGTGCTTCGCAGACTCCCTAAGTGCTGCCCTGGACCAAATCCCCGTAGACTCCCTATATTCTGCAAGATGAGAAAGCAGCTTCCCAATGCCAAGCGAAAGGTGCTCAGCCTGCTTGGAGATCCAGTCAAATGTGTCTGCAATCTATGTCATCAAGGTTCCTCCCTCTATATCTTGCATCCAGCAAGTTAGCAGCAACATGAATGGGTCGCAAGCAAAACTCTCCGCACCTGCTCATGATCGCTTTTGCGCGAGCCTTCTCCTGGTCTGTTAAAGTGCTGGTCGCCAGCTTCGTGATTACTTCGGTTTTTATGGAGTGGAGAACTTCCGGAACGTCCGACAGCAAAGCCTTGTCCGACTCCAATTCTGTGATGGCAGAGGAAATGGGTGTCACCAGCTCCAAACAGCTGTGCAAGGGTTTCCAGAATCCATCCTCGTCAAAGACGGTTTGCCGCCTGATTTGTTTTCTTTCAGATCTTCCAAGATCACGGTCTCTTGCAGAGCTTTTTGTTCCTGAGCAAACTTTGAAGTGAGAGGGTTACGCCGCCCCATCTTGTCTTGCTGGGCAGCTTGAGGGTCGTGGAACTTCCTTTGCCATCGCTGGACTCTTGCTTTTGTTAGAACGTGGCAGCAACTACGTGAGTCTGCTTCACATACTTGATCAGTTCTCTGAATGTCTGATGGACCTTCTGCAAGGTTTTTAGCCTCATGAGATCATTCAGGAGCAGATTCAGCCCGTGAGCAGCACATCCGATCGTTGCGATGTGCAGAAATTTGCATGTAACCATTTGACATGCCGCTTGCATGTTGCTAGCATTTTCCGTGACCAGTGGCACTACCTTTTCACTTTTGAGGGAATCAATGACATCACATATTTCGCCGCTGATATAAGACACAATGTGTCGGTTTGGGCCTGTTTCAATTGATATGTAGAACACTGGCTGCGGCGTAGCTACTACAAAGTTTATCACCGATTTTCCTCGAATGTTGGTCCACCCATCAGTCAGCAGTGCGAGGCACGTAGCGTCTTTCAAAGTCTCCTCCACATGACTTTTCACACGCTCATACACCCGCTCAATAAGTATCGGCTAGGCGGTGTGTAGGATGGTCGAAGCATCTTAAAGGTCGCTTGCCAATGCTCGTTTTCCGCTAAGGAGAATGGCATGTTGGCTGAGTACATAGCCCTAGCCAAAGCTGCGTCAATTTGGTTTTGAAGCGCAGGGGTTATTTTGTCAACAAACGAAGAAATACTCGCGCATTTTTTTACGATGTAGATTCCGCTGTGCGTCGGCTAGCCTTTGACTCACTTGATGTGGGCACTGATGAACTCCCAGAGGGATTTTTTCTATGTTCTTTTGCACACGCCTCCTTGACGTCTTGAGGACACATCTTGCACAACAGCAGATGCCTTGTAAGGCGTGTGGCGTTCGGAAATCCGTGGAACACTTGGCAGTACTTACATACTGCTTGTTTTTTTCCCGCGGTCGACGTTTGTAAGACTTTAAAATGCTTCCAAACGCTGCGGACGAACTATGGTGTGAAATTCTTCACGTTGCACGTTCTCCGATGAGACACATTGTTTGAGATAGTTTAGATCATGGATGGATGTTAATGGCTATACCCATTGTAATGGGCGGTAGCTTGCGCCACCTAGCCTAAGTTTCCATGTGCTCCCAGCGCCAATTTGCCTATGCTTCTTTGTCGAATTCTAACCCTGATTAAACCTCAGATTTCATGCACAGTACTGCATTGCCAAAAGACAGTCCTGGTACCATCACTCCTTTCCATATATTCTGACCACTTCATCTCTGTTATAGTTCCGCCTTGAGCTTCATAATAGAGGAATTTATTTTCCTTTTTCTAATTGTATTCTCCTTGTGTTCCTTTAGATATTTCCTTAGAATACACAGAAAAAATAAAACACATGAAGGACGAACACAGATGCACACAGTTCTTTCAATGAGCAACAAACATTTATGAAATGCCCATGACACTACGACCGTGAACTTCAAAGAATTGAAAGAAAAAGAGCAAAAAATAAACGTAAATGCTCAAATTTAAAATAAAATAAAACTGAATTGCTTGAAAATTTTAAAAGACCAATTAAAACGATAGGACATTTGTGGAAATTAACCCCTGAATAAAGGGGAAAAGAAAGAACAAAAAAGGAAATTGACCCCTGAATAAAGGGGAAAAGGAAGAAGAAAAGAAAGGAAATTAGCCCCTGAGGGCGGGGAAAAGGAAGAAGAAAAGAAAGGTTAATATTTGATCAAAACTGGCTTTTCGATAACTCTGGCGCGAGGAACTCCAGCTTTTTCGGCAATAACACCAGAGAAGGCTCAGAAACATTGTTCGCGGCATATTTGATCTTAAACGCCTCAATGATTTCTCGCCCACACTTATCTCTGTGTGTTTCGAGCACAGTAGTGTTTTCAAAGTTTGGGGTGCATTCGTGGCAGGTACGGGCATGCACGACTATGGGGTGAAATGAGTCTGATGATGTCATGTGACTTCTAAATGGTGCTTCCTGAGGCGAACATTTAGACATCTTCCAGTTTGGCCGATGTATTGACCTCCGCAGGTCAGTGGAATTGAATAGATTGGCTTCTCTTTACATTTAACACACTTGTTGGAGTGCTTGATGGCGCATTCGGGTGGTCAACTCTCGTTGTTCACCCTTTGGCACATTTGCTTTAACCTCATTCTGCAAGTGAAGACCACCTTCGTGTCAAACCGAGCAGCAAGAGTCTTCAGTCGGTGGGCGGTGTTTCCTTCCCTCATTGAGCCAGACTCCTAGATATTTGTTCTTTTCTATGTGTTCTATCACTGTGTCCTGTATATCAAGGGGTTCCTTCCCCCTTCTCATCATTGAAAACTATTATACCCGACTTGTCCCTACTGAATTTTAGTCCTAAACTGTCCCTTTCCCTGCTGCAAATCCTGATCAGTTCCTGTATTGTCTCACGGCTCTCTGATACGAGTACAATGTCGTGTGCATACATTAACCCTGGCTATAGTTGATTTACTTTACATCCTTCCTCCACGTAATTCAGGTCAAAACCTAGGTTGCACTGCTCTAATCTTTTTTTCATCTCTCTGAGGTATATCATAAAGAGCAGGGGATACAATGGGCAACCCTGTCTAAGTCCTCTTTTTATTGCTGCTGGTCTTGTAGTTTCGGCTTCCCATTTTATACTCACCCTGTTCTCCGTATAAACCTGTTCTAAAAACTTATAACCATGGTTTCCCCTAGCCCATACCCTTTCAGTTGGTCCCAGAGTTTTTCCTGATTCACATTGTCAAATGCCCCTTTGATGTCCAAAAATGCAACCCATAATGGCCTTTGACTTCTCATTGCTATCTCTATGCACTGAGTGATTATGAATAAGTTATCATCTAGTCGACTATCCATCCTGAAACCGTTTTGAAGCTCCCCCAGAATCTGCTTTCTCTCTGCCCATTCTTCCATTCTTCTTTTTACGATTTGCATAGCTAGTCTGTATATTACTGAAGTTACTGTCTCCCTTGCCCTTATATAATAATCTCATCCTGCTCAATTTCCAGTCACT